ATTTTAAACTTATGCGGTGTCTTTGTGGAATGTTATTGCAAGACTATTAAAACCCATAAATATAAACTGACGTTGACAATATGATAGTAGTTTTCTTAATATAGTGACGATTAATCAATTGATTATGATGTGTAAAACTTCCATGTGATTGGCTGTTTGTTTGAAGGCAGGGCCTTAAAGTCTCTTATACTGAGGCTGTATTGTAATTGGCTAATGGGTGACAAGTAATAAAAAGTGATTTTAAGCTGTCTCGGGTGAAAGCTGGGGACAAGCGGAGAATCGAATGGACATGAACGGAGCTTTGTGTGTGTTTTTTGTGAGTCTAGCGTGGGGAACAATCAAATCCCGGTTACCTAAGTGAAAGGTTTCCAAACATCAAAAATACCTACCACAATATTTACGCTATTCTATTGTAATTCCCGTGATTAAATTGTACAAACAAACACATTGATACAAACACATTGATACAAACACATTGATACAAACGAAAATGCTGCTAATATGTGGTTAATATATATTGTTGTAGATACATTGTAAACATTGTAGTCCGTATGCGACCTCATTCATATTCATATTGGCTTTAGAATTGCTATCTTCTACACCAGCAGACGTGACATATAGTTCTGTTATCGAACCTGCAGTCGAACGCATTTTAAAATGAACACCTGCTTCGTTCTTTTGTTACAACCATGCGAACATGAAACTACAAACATGGGCGAATCCCAAGACACACGACTCGATAATTGGTCTGAGGGACCCCAAGGTATGTTTATTACCAGCCTTGTCAGTCACATTATTAAAACACCTGGCAAGTAATTTTTCACCTTTGATTAAGTAACGGGTCATAGAATGCAGATACGGGCATGGCAAACACACCTTTGCAAAGCTTGAAGTCTGGCGATTCTAAAAATATATACTTTCCTGGGTCTATTTGTAGTCATTTGGTCACAATTAGAAGATGAAAACAAGTAAGCATATAATAGTCCCGCTACCTTAATAAAATAGTTAACCAAATATATTTAAACTATTTTATCTTCCTTTATTGGAGTAACGATGTTATGTGTTATGTTTTATTTCGAATTTTACGTTTTTTTTCTTGAATAGTTTTTACCGATATTTTTGATAACTTTTTTTTTAAAATGTGCTATTTTTTTAATTTTTGCTAACCAAAAAAAGAACTTTGTAGCGTGGAGAGCAAAGATTATTGCAAATTATTTTTTACCTTTGGTTATTCCCATAACCCTTAACCCAAGCGTGTAAAAAGCGTGTAATGTCAGTAAGTATTATTTACATTGATCACAGATTAGGAATACTTTCCGTTAAAAATAGCTACACCCGGGAAAAACATTTTGGTAACTTTAGAGTCGGTATTCCTTCTCGTCCTTTCACGATTTCACCCAATTAGACTTTTGATTTATTTAATTATAATTATTCACAATTCCGCATCTTAAAGGCACAACCCGTCTTATATATTTCTTAGTTTGTTGTTTTTAATTTGTCAATCGGTCTTCCAATTATTAAATGCAAGAACGTTGATATACATAGTAATAAAATAAATACAATTTACAACTTTGTTAAGTTGGTGTTTTAGTTTATATTTTGTGTTCACTGCTAAATTATCGTGGGCATGAAGGGGTCGTGTTTCATATATATGCCGTGCCAAATTCGGGTCATAAACATTATACAGATCACATGTCCTCACGTTAACATGATATTTCTAAACGACAATTGCCTGATCTCCATCGCTAAATACCGCTATAGTAACTTTTTCAAGGTCATGTGATGTGGTGAAAAATATAGTTCATTCAGTTGTTAATACGGCTCATACTGTGATATATAAACTACATCAATTATTCCAACTAAAATAGCATGCACTAATACAGAAAATTGAATGATTACATGTCCAAATTACTGAACTTGCCATTGAGCTAACAACATGACGTCATACATTCATGTGTACTTTATCAGTGTAACTAAACCACGCCGTTTAGATGTAATTTAGATGCAAGTGTGCACCTTTTTCTTGCTTAATCACCATATATTACCAAGGGGTGGGCTTTTGTGCGTTTTTCGATATTATTATTTTCTCTTTGTTCTAGACCCCAGGTGAAACTAATAACCGATAAACTAGTACGCTGTTGAAAATAAAATTTTATACCTGGTAAATCTTGCGATCTTTCCACTCCTCTGGCGTGCGGCGACTCAGCACGACAGTAGTGAAACATAATAACAGACATACGGCGATGTACTTCATTTTGCGTAGACAATAATTGGATCGCTGCGTCATCAGCTTAATGTCCAATTATTGTTTCATCAACATTTATAAGTTCCCATCTGAATCATATCTTTATATCTGTAAATACTCAATAGTGGTTGGCCAAAATTAGGTAAAACGTGTTCCCCGTTATAGTGCAATAATATTTGTGGTTGGGATAAGAAAAGATGTGCAGTTGATATCAGACATATATCGGCAGCTGTGGGAGATGCCGATTTTCTTTACTGATGACACTGGCTAAACTAGGGTGCATGAAAAGGTTAATTTTGATAAAAACATATGTCCCAATTGTTGGGACAATTCGGAAAATCGGGGCGCGGGAAAATCTTAGATGCCACGTGTTTGAATAAAATGTGTAAAAATAAATACGGTATTATTACATTTGTCAAGGAAGCTGTAGTGTACACGAATCTCACATAAAATGTCACATGGTTCTTTGACATTTAAATACTACTACGCACATACATTAACTTATTAAATATGTGTGTTTAAGACAAGAGACATGCAACTGGTAATATGCGGTGAAGATCTCCTTTGTCACATGGATTGAATTGCACTAACGTACATTTGTTGAAATACTAAAAGTTGATGAGCGAGTCCATGAAAGAACTGGTTGAATTCTGAGGCTGTGCCCTCATGCGTTTATTTACATCCGCTTACTATGTTTTTTTATGTATCTTCTTGAAAAGGACGATGAACTCGATCATTTTTGTAACCCGTAGTTTATAGGTCGATTATGTTTATAGGTCGATTTTCATCGCATCGCATAATTCCATATATGGTTATGTAAGTTACATAGCCTTATCTTGTATATTCTTAGGGATCGACTATTTGAAATCATAGTGGGTGACTGAAAAAAAAATATCTTGAAATCTAACCACGAAAGAAAAACAAATGCTTGCAAGGTGTTGTAAGACATATGTGACATTCTAGAAAAATTAAAAATATACAGACAAAACATCGCGCAATTGCTCTGGTTACACTCTTCCAGCCACCCTCCGTGATGCCAAGTGTTTGACCACTTGTAACATTTTTGTTTGTGCACCTTGAGTACTATGAATACGATTTTAATTTTACTTGTCAACTTCAATTCTGAGCTATCAAAAAATTAGGTGTGACATTTAATATATATAAGACGATATTGCAAATGATTATACTCCAACTAATTGTCAATGTTCTCTTTATTATTTCATTTATCTCATCAGTGACCCACATTTCACTGTGCAGCTTAAATGTAATAATCGTATAAATAAAGTTTGGCTGCGCCCCCGACGACGTTCACGGTGATTCCACCGTCACACTGTCGTCTGTATTGTAGATGTTAACCAGAACTGAAATGAGAAACATGTAGTCATGTGACATGGTATGGTCACATTTTATGTGCAAATCCGGGATACTTTCGAAAATATAGTGCGTGTCACAACGTCAATAACACATTACTGATGATATGCGCCCTCCAGAGACGAAGGGTTTCCATGCGAATTCAAATCACAACAATATGGCCGACCGGTATTGAAGGG